CTGCCCGCGTCCAGGGGGCGTCGCCCTGCTCCCTGGAGGTGAGTACAGCATCGGGACGGCGCACTGGGACCAAGTCCAGGCGGGGGAGCCGAAGCCCATCTTGCATCGGCCGGTTCTGTCTGGGTTTCTCCTGGGCGCCCCTCCCTGCAGCTCGAGGCTGGGCTTGGGTCTGGAGCATTGGGGGTGGGGGGGAGAGATACTCCCCTGGGAGCTGCAGGCCACCCGGCAGGCGGGGACCTTGGGGTGCCCTGGAAGCGGGTCCAGGCGGCCAGGGAGGGGCCCCGGGGCGCCAGGACCTTGGGCACAGCTGGGTGACGCACCCCGGCTTTCCCGGGGTGATAGGACCGTAGAGTCAAACTCCTACATCCAAACTGCATTGAAGTGCGCATTAGAACAGGTGAGCCAACGAGGGTCCAGGTATTTACAACAAAAATATTATTTTTAATCTTTTTTGTGTAGAGTTTGACGGCTTACAGTGATTTTCAGTTACTTAGAGCGTCTCGGGGTTCCCCTCCCATAGCCCGCGCGGCCCGGCCTGTGAACGCTGATGACCAGAAGGACTCCCCTCCATTCTCTCTCCCCTCGCTGGTCACTCACAGCTACTCCTCGCTGCTTGATTCCACGAGGAGGGGGAGGACGGACGGACGGATGGACGTGGGTTTTGCAATTTATAAAATATCTCCCTATTCCACACGTCTGGGGTGTCGCCATTTAACGAGCACATTTTCTAAATAGCTGGCCCCTCACCCCAATAATTCCTGAAACTTAAAAAGAAATGGCCTCTGAGCCGCGCACTCCTGTGCTCCGGCTGCTCCCGGCTGCTCCCGGCTGCTGGTGCCCGGGCTGTCCTTGTGGCCACGGGTTCACGGAGCTGCAGGAGCGGTTCCCGCGGAGATGGCTTTGTCCGCAGCCTGAAACAGGAGAACGGAGGCGGCTCGCTCTTCCTTGTCTGTCCTCCCGGGTCCTCCCTCCGTCACGGCTATCACTTTCCCGGCTGCCAGGTTGCGCCCGGGCCTGCGCTGCGCGTCCTGTCTCCCCCGGGACCTGCTTTTTTATAGAAAACGTTGTATCTGAGATCTCGAGACGGTGTCTGACTTCCAGGCAGTACAGATTCCCGAAAATCGCTGCTATTCTGAGACTGGGCAGCCCGAAGTGTTTCCTTTGCCCGGTGGCCTGGCTGTGGGGGGCTGTGTGGGCTGTGTGTGGCTGTGTGGACTGTGGGGGGATGTGGGGGGTTATGGGGGACTGTGTGGGCTGTGTGTGGACTGTGTGGGCTGTGTGGACTGTGTGGGGCTGTGTGTGGGCTGTGTGGACTATGGGGGTTGTGGGGGGCTGTGTGGGTTGTGTGGCCTAGGGGGGGCTGTGTGGGACTGGGCCTGGTGCTGGGAGGCCCACACTGCCCTCCCCTGCGCTCACTGGCCGGGGAGCTGGGCAGCTGGGAAGCAGTGCGTCCTGTGCAGGGCGCTTACCTGGGTGGGGCAGGCACTGATACTGGGTCGGCCGAGGGAGGGCTACACACACATCCCTGTGAACAGTGGCTCAGCTCAGCCTCGAAGCAGCTCACACACAGGCCTCCGTCCTCCGCACAGGCGCCCTGGAGCCGCCTGCATGGGCGCGGGCTCTGCTGTGGGGTTCGCAGGCCGCAGACCCCCAGGCTGGGGGGGAGTGAGCCCAGGACAGCAGGGGGGGCAATGTGAGTGCCACGCAGACACGGCAGCGCGCCCTCAGTGGCTTCGCGGGTGGTGGACACAGAGCAGCGCTGTGAGTGCAGGCGCCTCCCGGTCCGGAGGCTGGACCCCAGGATGTGACCGGCCGCGGCTCAGAAGGGATGGGGCGAGGGCCTTGCGCAGTGAGGAGGCGGGGTGGGGGGACAGGGTGGTGGACTCTGGGTCAAGTGGCCGATGGCAGGGGCTGGCCCAGGAGGTCGGACAGGGCTGGGGTCTGGACTCGGGATGGGAACGTCAGCAGGTCACCTGGGGAGGAGTGTCTGGGGCCACATAGGGCTGAGCTGATGGACAGATGGACAGACTTAGAAGTTTCCAGCACACAAGTGGTTGTCAAAGGGACAGGTACCAAGCGTCAGTGGGAGAGAGGCCGGGGGGGGGGGACCCCCCAGTGTGAAAGTTGGGTGGTGAAGGCACAGAGCCAGAGGCAGGGAGAGTGAGCCAGCGGCTCGTAGCACCTGAAGGGGGAAGACTCTGGAGCCAGGGGTCAAGGACAGAGCGAGGTCTCAGGCTGCCCCCTCTGCCCCCGAGGAGCTCCGTGACCTTGAACTCAGTTCCTTTCCTCATCTGCACCCCGAGGACCACAGCGCCTGCTTGCTGGGCTCCGGCAAGGCCAGAGGGCTGCCAGCCTCGTGCCGGGCGGTCCCTGGTCTGTGGTGGGAGGTGCCGGCTGCTTCTGGGCAACGCGGCACCTGCCCTTGGTGACCCTTGGTGACGGGATGTCCACGGGATGTCCACGGGATGTCCACGGGATGTCCACGGCATGCTGCTTCCGCCGCGCTTGCTCTCAGGGTCCAGGGAGGAGAGTGATGGTGCATTTAGGACAGTGATGGCGAACCTGTGACACGCGGGTCAGAGGTGACACGCGAACTCATTTTTTTGGTTGATTTTTCGTTGTTAAATGGCATTTAAATATATAAAATAAATATCAAAAATATAAGTCTTTGTTTTATTATGGTTGCAAATATCAAAAAATTTCTATATGTGACATGGCACCAGAGTTAAGTTAGGGTTTTTCAAAATGCTGACACGCCGAGCTCAAAAGGTTCGCCATCACTGGTTTAGGATGAAGACGGATAGTATTTATAGCTTTGGGAGAAGAAGCTGGAGAATAGGGCAATGGGAGGTTCCGAAGGGGCGGAGAGAGCCATGGGGGTGACCCCCGAGGAGAGGGTGGGAGGGGGGTGGGAAGGGCCCCCTTCTCCAGGCCCAGGGTGGGGGACACGGTGTTGTTTTGCAAAGCATCTGGCAGCCAAATCGTGGACATCTTGAGCGTCTTTCAGATCTTCTTGGTAGCGTGAGCTCAGGTTTTTTAGGTAATCTAACGAGGGCAGAGTTTATCCACTTAAAAATAATGTGAAAACACAAAAAACAAGACAGATATTAAAACTGGACCCCATGTAACTTAGTAGTTGATGATTCTAGGCCAGCGGTTCTCAACCTGTGGGTCGCGACCCCTTTGGTGGTCGAACGACCCTTTCACAGGGGTCGCCTAAGACCATCCTGCATATCAGATATTTACATGACGATTCATCACAGTAGCAACATGACGGTGATGATGTAGCAACGAAAATAATTTTATGGTTGGGGGTCACAACAGGAGGAACTGTATTGAAAGGGCCAGAAGGTTGAGAACCACTGTTCTGGGTGCTTCGTGGGCCTGTGGGGTCTGAAAAGCCAGGCAGTGCGCTTGGTCACAGAGCACCGTGGCGACGTCCACCGTAGTGGACTCCTTCCTTCCTCAGGGTTTTCTCTGTGGCGGGAGTCACGGTTTACATTAGAGATAAAGATGTGTAAGTAAGTTACACGCTAATCTGCGGGTAACTTTTTCACTCTCCGGTTAGCGGGTCTTTTGAGAAAACGTTTACCTACGTGCGCTGGTTTGAGAGCGCAGTGCGTGCTGTTGACGAGCTGGTGGTGAGGAATGTCGTGATGAATTGGCTCTAATCGTATGTGTTGTTCCTTATAGTTCAGATTAGTTTGTCTGCCTCGTTGCCTACCACCATTTGCTCCCATAGCTCTTAGGACATAGACTTTAGGAAATCCCGTAAATGTTGGTTTTTTTTTTAGTAAAATGAGGTTAAGTGTTCCATATTTTTATTATTACTATTTTTTGTTAATCCTCACCCGAGGGTATTTCTCCATTGATTTTTAGAGAGAGTGGAAGGGAGGGGGAGAGACAGAGAGAAACATCGGTGTCGGAGAGACACATCGATGGGCTGCCTCCCGCACCAGCCCCGACTGGGACGGGGATGGAGCCTGCAACCGAGGTACGTGCCCTTGACCGGAATTGAGTCTGAGGGCCGATGCTCTATCCACTGGGCCAAACCGGCCAGGGCAACTGTTCCGTATTTTTAAGGTGAGCTGAGGTCCTCCATGTGTGTCCTGTTTCATCGTTGGCTCTGCTCTTCCCCTGGGATTCTCTGGCCGAGTTCTGTGCGGGCCTCTCTGCTCGACGCTGCCTTCGCTGGCTCTTGTGCGAGGAGGGTGGTCCCCCGCGGCAGAGCCCGAAGTCCGTGCGGGAGGCTCTGTGTGGGCGCTGACAGGTGCAGGCTGGCCCCCAGCTCAAGCTCAGACCGCACACCGCCCACCCCGCACTCCCTTCCTGGGACCAGAGGCCCAGGCGCATCCACATGGCCATGAGGGCCACCCCGAGGGTCACCCCGAGGGCCACGCCGAGAGCCACGCCTAGGTCAGCACCCAGGAGCGCAGCCCCAGCCTCTGGGCGTTGGGTGGCGGGGCACCTAGGCCCACCCCCTCCCCCGTGGCCTGGCTGCAAATGTGGGCAAGTGTTAGCACTTGGACTGGCCAGGAAGCCTGTCGGTCAGGGCGGTCCCGAGCCTGGCTCCTCCGGCTCTGTCCCTGTGTCTGCAGGAATGGCTGTGTCTGCAGCGGGTTATGTGGGAGGTGTAACAGGTGGCGGGCACTTTCTGAGGAGATCTGCGTTGTCACCGACCCGGGAACGCCTGCCTGCCTGGCTCGGAGGACGGTTGTTACAGAGTGTGTGTAAATTGTTTTTCACCTTCCACTCTGTCCTGAAGAAACGTAACAGTTGAAACGTTTTCAGGACACCGAACCGTGGCTGTTCAGCCACCACCTGGCTGTAATTTGCTTTTATACGTAATGGCCACGGGGCTGGTCTTCCTCCAAGTGCGACCTTTTCTTTTAAATAACATGTTCCCATCAATTAGAAGAGAAGAGAAGGTAGAGTCACGTGTTCAGATAGGCTGCTTATGCTGTGTTACTCATCCCTAGAAAATTGCATAAAAATTCGGTTTATGTCAATTGAATCATATTTAAACATTTTAAATTAGCAAAACTACCTGAAGGAGAAAGGGAAAGACGTAAACCAGCACAGGGTATGGGGACACGGAGGCTGTTAGGGCCGCCTTTAACTTTCTGTGGATTTGAAGCGTTTGACAGAAAGTGTGCACAGTGACTGTACAGACACTGTGTTTCAAACGGACCAGAGACTTGGCTTTAAAAAATATGTATTTTTTATTGATTTTTTACAGAGAGGAAGGGAGAGGGATAGAGAGTTAGAAACATCAATGAGAGAGAAACATCGATCAGCTGCCTCCTGCACACCCCCCACTGGGGATGTGCCCGCAACCAAGGTACATGTCCTTGAACAGAATCGAACCTGGGACCCCGGAGTCCGCAGGCCGACGCT